AGAACTGTTGCTGAAGTAGCCGTTGTTGCACTGAAACTTGACGACAGCTCCGCGACTACGATTAGAAGGAACCGTCTGTCGGCCATTGGACAAGTCCGGTGGTTTCCCACAGTAGTTGACGTCGACTGAACAGAGAAACAACAAACCAACGATTGAGACAGAGCTCTAGATAACCCAATGACAGGCTACACTATGGAGAATGTCCTTAACCATAAGTATTATAGTCTTCATCAGTTTTACGGGAAAGATGCAAACGGTCATCACCTGGTCATCACCAGGACTCGAACCAGGGACCTTCGCATGAGGCCAGCGATGCTCCTACCATATAGTCATGTTGCTGCATCAAGCCTTGATACACTAAGCAAGTCAGGCTGATCTACCATAAACTATCCAGGTCAAGTTAAAACATCATATCTGAGTGTATGATATAGGTCTGCCTCACGTGTTCTTCTCCTCAATCCCGATGATGGCCTGGTGGCTGAACAATTTTATTGTGAAGATTGGAATTTGCAGCGAAGAGATCACTTGCTTTGGGGATGGCTTGGGTAGGGTTTTCCACAATCAAAATTGAGCTCAACTGCAAAAAACAGGGAGTGAATTAGCAGGGAGTGAATAGTGAATAAAGGCGCGCTCACGAAATGGCACTGTAGCACAGCTTACCTATACAGGCCACGTTTTGCCTCCATCTCCTCGCCGGGTTGCTAGCAGTGACACACTCCACACTGGCATCGCCCAGGAGTGAGAATGACTCATTGCACGTCACCGTTGCCTTGGCACCCAGCACTCTGCCACTCGGGTAGGTCAGGTAACCGTTGGCGACTTTCAAAAACGGACAGTAGTCCGGGTAAGCTGGAGAAAGCAATGGCAACAGATCAAACATGGCACAGGAACAGGATTTATGGGATTGGGTCGCTAGCACATAATCACTCTATTATTATTATTATTATTATTATTATAGGCTTTTCCACGTCTTAGCCAAGCAAGCTTGGCTAGCCTTCACGTAAGCTGCTCCATAATGATGAGACGAAACCATGAATGCATGTATATACGATCTAGCACAGAACCAAGGTTGAGGATATTTTTTGAATAAAGCTGCAAGTTGTGTTGAGGAACACAAAGTTGCAAACTCTACGAAAGTAAACTGCAAGAAATGTTTTGGGGTTGATCTCATGATTACTGTACATAATCACTCTGGAGTACATAACAATATTATGTTACCTTCATACATGCAAAGATATGAATATTATTCACAGTAAATATTATCACCCAGACTGAGGAAAGTGATGTTGCAGTGATGTCAGCAGATCAGAAGACATGAAGTGACATCACAGATATGCATAGTACACTCTGACGTAGGTGGATTGAGCCGATTTAGAACTGAAGTTAACTTTGTGAGATACTGGGAAATCTGAGATGCAGGCAGTGCCCAGCCTGATGTGCCCACAGAAGAGACATTCAACAAAGCCATCATCCGTGCAAACTCACAGGCCTGCTCGCAGATCACGCGCAAGCGCGCACTGTCCGAGATCACGGTGTTGTTACTGGCCAGGGCGTTACCGGGTCCCATAGTCTCCCACATCCAGGCAACCTGTGCATCGCCGTTCTCACGTAACAGATCCTGCACACAGGCCAGCTTGCCGGGATGAGGCAAGCGAGAGCCGGTGGCGAGACACGCCTTTTCGGCCGCGGCATGGTCCAACAGCGTGAAGTGGTCCTTAAGATAGTAGAACCTGCCACTCACTGATGAACAGGCATAGGAATCTGGAGTGAAAACAACAACAAACATAGAAAACGAGGAGAGACGTAGATTGAGAGAGTAAGCAGGCAGTCAGAAAAACAGAGGATATGTAGACAAACCGATGGACGGACGGACGGATGGACACAGACGGATGGACGGACATACAGACAGACAAACACAAAAAATACATACATACAGATAGACGGACCAGCAGGCAGACAGACAGACAGAGAGACAGAGAGACAGACACAAAACACAAACACACACACACACATACACACACAAACACGTGCACGTGCACGCACGCATTCACAAGCGCATACACACACACACACGCACACACACACACTTACCCCCCCCCACACACACACACATTATACACACACACACACACACACACACACACACACACACACACACACACAGACACACACACACACACACACACACACACACACACACACACACTTACCCCCCCCCCCCAACACACACAAATACACAAACACACACATGCACATACACCTGTCCTGTACACACACACACGCACACTCACAACAACATAACGACACAAGCGCATCACCACACACGACAGCTACGTTGACAAAACACCACACCTACATTTGATGCTGCAGACGAAGTTCAGCTTGACCGCGGTAAGTTCCATTGTTCCGGAGCTTGTCATGGACGCTTCAATAACTGCCTTCTCTCGCTCTGCAGTTCTCATCCAGAGTCGGTTGGTCCAGCTTGACATGGATGTAGTGAACTGGTTCAGGCAGGGCAGGTTATGCGTGTGAGGAAGATTGGCACCCAGCCGCCTACATTCAGCCTGGGCACTCATGTAGTCGAGCTGAGCGAGCTGAGGCGGTGAGAATAGTCTGTACGATTCCCCTGGACAGACTTTTACATCTGAAAACAATTGAAAAAGATGACAGAGTGAAATTCGGTACCACTGTGCTAGACCTGTAATGGTACATGTATAACAAATAACATGGTTTTTTTTAAGTGCACACAGTGTTTAGAACACCCCAAAAATGCACTGTGAGATTTTCAAAAAACTGTTTGGAGCTTGGCCGGGATAATTTGATTCCGTAGATAGATCCCCCATGCACCCGCTCTTTTGAATTTGCATGAACACAAACACACACACACACACACACACACACACACACACACACACACACATACACACACACATACACACACACACAAACACGCACACAAACAGAAGACAACAGGGAACATGGACACATACCTGAACAAGTTGCAGTGGCATTCCATACACTATGACTGCTGTTGAACGGTAGACACTCAAAGTTAACGCCGGCGATTGCAGAGTAGCGCTCATCACAGCTCACCGTGAACGTGTCCCCTATACCTGCATTTGTGTAGTTACCCGATAAAGTCCCGTGCTGCGTGATTACGTTTTCGCAAGGTCTATGCAGTTCTGTAGAAGACAAATTCATAAAAAATGGGCATATTTATTATTTTACTAGGGGAGTCCCAACGGCCTACTGCTTTTTTACTGGGAACCGTAGGTGAAGTTTAATCATGCTAATGAACAGAGCAAGAGAGTGGGCCTGTCAACAGTCAGCTGGAAGACAGTTCCATCTGCCTGGCGCCAGAAAAGAATTAGAACGCATGCCAGACTGCGGTGGGAGAACTGACGCTCTCTGTGCCTTGCCCCGGGTGCATGCCTGGTGACCAGGTGCAGTTGCCCGAAGCTGGTACAAAGACAGAAGAAGAGGACTAACAAGACGCTGGGCCAAGCAGTGGTACGCAAAAACATAGAGCTAGGACAGACACACACAAAGGCAGGCAGCCACACCTGACACCAGGAACACGACTGAATGCTCACGAATACTGAAATGCATTGGAAAATGTGGGGTGACTGCCGCACAGATACAAAGTGGCAGACACTCGGAGGTAATTGGCAACCTTAACGATGACAAGCCGGCACCTGATCCCATCAAGACAGTTGACGTTCGACCATACGAGTCTTCTGCAGCACCGGAGGATGTGTAATAGGTGTATGTATGCTACGACCTGAATACTCACTATTCGGATTTCCCGCTCGTTCCCCTTGGCAATGAGCCACTCACATAGAAGAGCGCATGCTCCAGGCTCTGTTCTGTTCTAGTCTAGTCTTGAGTGGTCGTTGTCCTGTTCTCCTTCTGTCTACACTCTTATCGAATACTTCTAATTATCCAATCATATAAAACCCTTGTGTTCCGGTGTGAGGGGGCATCATTAGCCGGGAGCAGCTTACACTGGTGGCAGCGGTGGGATTCGAACCCACGCCTCCGGAGAAACCATATCCTCATCCACTCTCTTCGTCGATATTTTGCTTTCTGCATTGTGTTTCTTTCTGCTCGTCGTTTTCTTGTTGCATGCAGTGATTTGTTTACAGTCCATAGGTCACTCATTGGCGCCAACCTGTCTGGCCAAACATTTTCAGAACATTTTCTGTGTCCGTGTTTTGTGCAAGATTGCATACTGACTGCTGTCTAGTGTCTGTTGTTAGGATATCTGCTAGCTGGGTAGTAGAGTCTAGCTACACTGTGTCCGTAGATAGAGTACGAGTAGTTGCCTATTTGGAATTGTCTCTGCCAAATTTAGTTGTTTGCCGCTACGCACGATAGGTTACGTAATAGATTTAGATCGATAGTTGATCGAGGCGTCGATCGAGTCCACGGGAAATTTTTGCAGATAATTTTTTTCGAAAATTCAAAAATACAAAAACAATTTTTTTTCACAATGGGCCGTTCACAGCGAAATCCAAGAGCCAAGAAAAGCTAGAGCGTAGCTTCGCTGAAGCTGGCTGTGACATGAACATTGCTGAAGAGCGCGAGAGTTCGCCGGTGCACGGGTTGTCCCATCGTTTTCGTTTGCCGGACACAGACACACCACATGCACGTCCACTGCCGAAGCCAGTCTTGCTTCCTGAGACCTTCGGAAATCAGCCAGGCCAAGATTTCACCACGTACATGAGGCATTTCGTCCACACATGCGAGTTGAGTGGGTACGACGACGACCAAAAGCTACGGCTACTACCTGCTCGCCTTGTTGGTACAGCTCATGAGAATTTCACCGAAATTCTAACTCACACGCCTGACATAAACTTTTCCGACGCAGTCGAGGCTCTGCATGTCCGTCTTGAGCTGCCCCAGCAAGCATTGATGCACGAGGCCAGTCTTCGCCAGCGAGTGAAGCTGGCCAGTGAAACTCAGCACGGATATGCCACGGAACTTCGTCGGCTCGCTCGTCGAGCCTACCCAGGACAACAAGGTGCACTGCTTGATTCCATGCTTTTGCAACTTTTTATTGATGGCCAGGCATCGAAGGATTTGCGCTTGGCGTTGGCGTCACCTCGGCCCACTGATTTGGATGCGGCGGTCCAAAAGGCCATCGAGGTAGGTGCTATTTATGCTCGCGAGCAGGCCCGCACCGTACCTCACCAGTACGCACAGCCCGTATTTGCTGCTGCTCCGGAAGTGAAGCCCGGTCGCACTGCTCATAGTCGTGACCCCTACACAGCAGGCGGTCCACTGAAATCGGAATCTGAGCGAGACCAGTTGGCTTCGCTTTTGTCGAGTTTTGATTCGCGTCTCTCTGCTTTGGAGGCAAAAATGGAGAGCGTGAGTCTGTATTGCCCCACCCGACCCCAGCAAGACCATGTACGTTTTGTTGCTCGTGGTGCTGGTGCCGGTGCGCCTGGCCGTGGTCGTGGCCAGAGTTTTGCGAGGCCCGTCCGTGGAGTGTGCCATGGATGTGGTGAAGAGGGCCACTTCATTGCATCTTGCCCGCACGCAAAAAACTAGGTTGGACTGGTGACACGGGGCCGCCGTCAGTCGTCCGAGTGGAGCCCCTCGAGGAGGTATGTGGTGCGATTTCACCCATTATTGTGCACGTTGATGTTTGTCTTTCGTCTTCGTCTTCGTCTCCTGTTGTTGCTCTTGTTGATTCTGGTTCAAGTGTGTCGTTAGTGCATTCTAAATTGTTGCCTAATTTGACAGAGCGACCTCCTCTAGAGTCTGCTCCACGGTTGTGTGCAGTCAATGGCGCACAACTTCTGTCGTTGGATCCATGGATCTGTGTATGTCGCTAGGAAATCTGTCTTTCCAGCACACGGTTGTTGTCTCTCCTGGTATTCACTGTTACATGATTCTTGGTTCCGATTTTTTGTTGCAGCATGGTGGTGTATTAGATATTGCTCGTGGTGTTGTGATGTTTGGCGATGTGTCTGTTCCGTTGCATGTTTCTGGTTCCGGGTGTCCTCCGTCACGTACGCCGTATGATCGTATTGTTCCGCGTAATACTTCCCCCTCATGTAATACTCATACTCCTCATTCTGATGCATGCTCCGACGATGTACCTCTTTCGTCATATTCTTCTCGTGTTGCCCTTGACGATTCATTGTCTGCACGGGTTGTTGAACCCATGGCTCAACCTGGCGTGTCCCGGCGTGTGCGCCCGAGAGTGTGGCTGACCCTGTGGTATACTCATCTCGTGTGGTGTTTGAGATGGAGTTGTCGGTACCTGCAGGACATGTTGTCTTGGTGCCTTGTGCAGCTGTTGATGTGTGCACGGTTGCGATGGATTGCGTGGCAGATCCATTGGAGTCCTTTATGGCGAAGCATCCAGATGTGGCAGTGACTCCTAGTCTTGTAACTGTTGGCCCTAACCAAACACGTGTGGTTGTGGCTGTTGAAAATCATGCAAATCATCCTATACTCATTCATAAAAATACCAATGTTGCCGAACTTCATCAAATTCCTACAGATTGTGAACATATTGACGACACTGAAGCTATGGTTTCCTCAGTTTCACCCGACCCGATCCCGCTAACTGAGCAACGCAAGAAAGTCATCGATGATTATATTGTTGTAACTCGCTTTTCCAACGCCCAAAATCATCTCTCCACAGAACAGTCTCGCATGCTCACTGAACTACTTCATAATAACCACGATTTATTTATCTTGCATGATGATGACTATGGCTACTGTGACATATTCCCTCGTAAAATTAACACTCGACAAAATAACCCTATAAAACAACCTACCAGGCGGATTCCATATCACCGCCGGAAGGCTCTGCAAGATCTACTGAATACGCTGTTGAAGCAAGGCATAATACAAGAATCGATTAGTCCGTGGGCATCACCCATAGTATTGGTGCCAAAGAAGGATGGCTCTCTTCGACTCTGTATCGACTACAGGAAGTTGAACTCTGTCACCGAACCTGACGCCTACCCGATTCCCGGGGCGGATGACATGCTTGATTCCCTGTCTGGCTGTCGGTATTTCACGTCCCTTGACTTAGCGTCAGGGTACTGGCAAATAGCAATGGAAGGAAGCGACAAGGCTAAGACGGCATTTACCACGCCACTGGGCTTGTTTGAGTTTAATGTTCTGCCGATGGGCTGCAGGAATGGCCCAGCGACATTTCAGTGCGTAATGGAAGCAGTCCTGAGTGGCCTATGTAAAACACCCGCTCAGCCATTCTGCCGTGTGTTCTTTGATGATGTCCTGAATGCCAGGGAAACGCTGTCTGGCCAACTCCAGATTCTGCTGCCCGTGTTCTCGCGAGTTCGGTCCGCTGGACTGCGGTTCAATCTGAAGAAATGCTCCTTCTTCCAGGAGGAGGTCACTTTCTTAGGACACCGCGTGTCAGCGGAGGGCATCTCCCCGAATGAGGCCAAACTCATTGCGGTCAGGAACTGGAAGACTCCGAAATCTGTCACAGCTGTCCGCGAGTTCCTTGGCTTCGCTGGATATTATCGCCGCTTCATCCGTGGGTTCGCCCAGCGTGCTGCTCCGCTGACTGCTCTGACAGGCAAGAATGCTCGCTTTGCGTGGTCGAAAGCTTGCGAAGCGGCGTTCCAGGCTCTGTAGCGTTCGCTTGCCAGTGCGCCGGTGATGGCGTACCCCCAGTTTGAAGATTCAGCAGGTGCATTCATTCTGGACACCGATGCGAGCAATGTGTCGATTGGTGCAGTCCTCAGCCAGATCCAGGATGGAACTGAGCGACCAATTGGGTACGGCAGCCGTGTACTGACAAAAGCTGAGCGTAACTACGATGCTAGCGATCGTGAGGCCCTTGCTCTGGTCTATTTTGCGGAGTATTTTAGGCACTACTTGTTGGCACGACCATTTGTTGCCAGGACGGACAATACTGTGTTGACTGCACTCCGGAACCTGAAGGAACCCCGCGGACGGAAAGAACGTTGGCTTGACTGTTTATCCGAATATGAATTCCGAGTCGTCCACCGTCCAGGTCGCCAACATCTGAATGCCGATGCTATGTCCCGCGTGGTGACCGATGTGCCGTCTCCTCCGCCGAGTCCGCCGCCTCTTGCCCGTGATGTTCCGCTGTCAGCTGCTGCTGAAGTGCCAGTTGCTGGAGCCACTTTCGTCAGTTCTCCTGATCCGCCGCCTGATTGTTTTCGGCCGCAGGATATTCTGAGTGCCCAGTCTGCTGATCCTGATCTCGCTGCGGTTTTGTCTTGGTACGATGCTGCCAGTGGGAAATTTGTCCGTCCACCTGAAGAGGATATCCGTCCCTTCAGCCGTCTTCAGAAATTCCTTTGGTCTTCTGTTTCTCAGTTGCGTCTTATCGATAAGGTGATGTATCTTGATCCCCCGTTCGCTCATGATGTTGATGTCGAACATCCTGTTCTGATTGTCCCTGTCGTTTTGCAGTCTGCTGAGCTCGCGTCTGTTCATTCTCTGCCCGGTGCTGGTCACTTTGGCATTGAGAAAACGTTACATCTGGCCCGTCAACGTTTCTTTTGGCAGGGTATGGCATCCGATGTCCAGATTTATGTGCAGAGTTGTCCGACTTGTGCTCAGTTGGCTTCTAAGAATCCAGTGCACCGTGCTCCGTTGCAGTCCATGGCTGCTGGTTTTCCGTTTGAGTTTGTGGCATTGGATATCGTTGGTCCACTTCCTGTGACTCCAACCGGTAACAGGTATGTCCTTGTCATCGTCGACTACTTCACTCGCTGGGCTGAAGCTGTTCCTTTGTCTGCCATTACTGCTGAGGCTGTCGCACTGGCATTTGTTCATTGTTGGGTGTCTCGTTTTGGTGCGCCACGTCGCCTCCACTCTGATCAAGGCTCTCAGTTCGAAGCTCGGTTGTTCCAGTCGTTGTGCACTATCCTTGGCATCCGGAAATCCCGCACAACCAGTTACCACCCCGAGGGCAATGGACTTATTGAGCGCCTCAATCGTACGTTGATCCATCACCTGAAGGCTTTTGTTGGCCCTACAGATGTCCATTGGGATATTCACCTTCCGCTTGTTCTTCTCGCCTACCGTGCTGCTGCACACAGTAGTACTGGTTTTACGCCTTCCCGTTTGTTGTATGGTGCTGAGCTTCGCCTGCCTGTTGATCTGGTCTTTCCTTCTCCTGATCCTCCCGAGCTCTCCCCATTTGCCTATGTTCAGCTCGTACGTGATCGTTTAGCTCAGGCTCATTCTCTTGCTCGTGTTCAATTAGCTGCTGTCCATCGTCACCAGAAGTCAGTGTATGATGCTCACTGCAGTGGTGCTTCGTTTGGCATTGGCGATTTAGTCTGGCTGCATGATAAGGTGATTCATGCCGGCGAATCTGCCAAGTTCCACCGTTATTGGTCCGGTCCGTTTCGTGTTGTTCGTGTGAATGGTCCTACGTCGTATACCTTGTCTATGCCTGGGTGTGAACGTACCGTCCATTTCAACCGCCTCAAGAAAGCTGTAACTGTGTCCGGTCCTGTTACATTGCCACTGCCCGATGATGATTTGCCGCGCTGCGTTCCGCCGCTACAGCCGCCGTCGTCTGATCCGGTCCGTACTTCTTCTCCTGTTTCTCGTCGTTCTGGCCGTGTTCGCACTGCACCTGCTCGACTAGCTGACTATGTCCTGGACTGAGTTTATTATTTGGTTTGTTTTCTTTTGTTTGTTTCCTAGGTCTTTCGTTCATTCCCGTGGACGTGAATTTTAGCTAGGGGGGCACAGTGTAATAGGTGTATGTATGCTACGACCTGAATACTCACTATTCGGATTTCCCGCTCGTTCCCCTTGGCAATGAGCCACTCACATAGAAGAGCGCATGCTCCAGGCTCTGTTCTGTTCTAGTCTAGTCTTGAGTGGTCGTTGTCCTGTTCTCCTTCTGTCTACACTCTTATCGAATACTTCTAATTATCCAATCATATAAAACCCTTGTGTTCCTGTGTGAGGGGGCATCATTAGCCGAGAGCAGCTAACAGATGCATCCAGTGTGCTGACAGAGCTCAACACTGCGAAGACAGAGCGTAATACAGAACAAGGGCAATCAAGGCTAGTTAGTCGCTACTTAAAGTTTCATGCTTTCACAATCAGGAAGGCCACAGATTTTGCTGATGATTGTGAGAGCATGAAACTCAGAGTAGTGACCTTTGATTCCTCTTGTTGTTCTGGGTCTTCTGCAGCATAAAGACAGAGTGGCAGACAGAAATGATCCCAGCAGGAATATGTTCACAGACTAACTTATGCAGGCTAAACTGCTGTTCCAGTAGCCACGCCGTGAGGAGCGTTCCAGGCATACTGCTTCACCCGATGCGTTGTAGCCTGGAGAGCATGTTAGGTTTGTTATGATCATGTGCCGGGAATTGATTTCCAGAGGTGGAAGTGAGCCGTGTAACACAGGTGGATGAGGGTCACAGAATCCCTCCATCACTGTTCAACAAACAGAAACGCACACACACACACACACACACACACACACACACAAGTGCACACATACGCACATGTGTGCAGGCACCCACCCACGCCCACACCCACACACATGCACGCATGTGTGCACACACACGGGCACACACACACACACACATGCATAATATGCACACACATATATGCACACACATACACACACATACACACACACACATACACACATGCACACACACACGTGCACACACACACACACACACACACACACACACACACACACACACACACACACAACCGCAAACCATGTATGCTTGCCGCAAAAGAAACACACATACATGTATGTACATGTGCACGTCCTCTAATTTCAGCAAATTTCTCTTTCGGCAACAAAAGTAGGCCCTGAATGAAGCGGATGAAGAAGAATGCAACTATCATCAGTGATAAAGCTTTGTAAATGGACTGTAATGCACATGAGACGTACACGACCCGAAGGGAGGGGGGGGGGGTGGGGTGGGTGGGGTGGGGGTTGGGCGACGTGCACCACCGCATATGTGTAGGATGGCTGGTGCATGTCATTCAAGGTCATTATGTGCAAGCTGAACCTAGGTCGAAACTTTTTAGGGGCCGGGGGGGGGGGCATGCGGGCTATGCGCCTGAGCAGTAACGCATTATGCTTTTTTTTCTTTTTTTCTTTTTTACTATGTTCACATACCCGGTATTCATTGTTATTACCTGACGATGGACAAGTGCCGAAACGTTGTAAAAATAGCGGAACTGGTTCGGATGTGATGTGCAGCGCTATGGGAATGGATGTGTCCACCCGAATTCTTTTCACAGATGAAGCTGCAGGAAGCCTCAGCCCTTCTTCACATACCCAACTCTCGTAAATAATAATGAAAGACAATTATACTGAGACTAGGCTTACGTGAGCATCGGGGCTGGGCACTCCAGTTTCCCTTCGTTGCCGTTCCCGCCAGGCAGAAGCCTTCGGTTGAGGTGGACTCAAATCCTCTTTCACAGGTGAGCGTGAAGTTGCTGCCGATAGTGCAGTTGTCTGAGCTAACGGAAATATCTCCATTACTTGCATTCGGCCAGTCACAATAGTTGTGCAGAACTGCAGGAAACGTTTTACAGAAAAAAACGTAGTCAAAATCAAAGGTCATGTAAGTCGACACGTTGAAATAATAATAAATGTTATACGATGGTACAAGTGTAGTACGTAACGAATGTTGTGGACATGGAAATCCGGTCGCACGTCTAGCGGCCTCAGGGGCGCTGGCCACGCAGCCGTGGGTAAGCGGCACACGCATGCATTTATGCGCTGCATGCGGCGCGCTGGTCCCATCGGATCAACATGTGCACTGCACGCAGCGTTCTGCACGCGCTGAGGGCGCCCGCCCCGGTCAAGCGACTGGATTTCCATGTCCGCCGCTATAGTACAATGCTTTTTTTGAGTGTAGGCAAGTTGCCTATGAGTAAGCCATGTCCAATCAAGCTGCGTGAGGCGGCTCTTCTGACGTGCTCTTCAATTCCTCGGAGCGTAACTCTGGGCAGTAGCCAGCCTCGCAACTATACAGTGCTAAGCCGCTACGGGTCAAGTTCACATAAGCAGAAACATCGTGCAGTTAGAGCCCTCTTGCTTTGCGGCTATGTCCCGGTTTAAGAGTGCTTTTCTTTTTCATTAGACCTGATTGCGATCGGCTTGGCTTGTGATGTTTCACTTCGCCGAGAAAACCCTAATAGTGTGAATACAGCTAGCTGTTCGGAGATAGAGCAGGGAATAAGTTAGCCGGTATCGCATAGCAGTTTGCTACGCAATTCTTCGGAGGTGCTTCAGAAACATGTCGCAGAAAGCTGAGATGCATGCTGATTTTCACGGTACCCTATGATGCACAGTGTACATGCCAGATGTGTCTCTTAGGGTTGAAATAGGTGCACGAAACTTTGCAGTACTGAGCTATGCATCCTGGCACCATGTTGGGTTCATAGTGCTGAGCTATGCATCCTGGCACCAGGTTAGGTTCACAAATAGGTGTTACCATGTACTTGTATGCTCTTCATTATCTTTATCTTTACTGGGTCTTCACATTGCCTATAGCCTCATCTTTTAACTTCTCTTCTTCCTTTTTGCCTCGTCGGCACACTTTGAATTTGTGTGTCAACACTGTCGAGTTGTTCGATGTTAAATAGAGACTACTAATACTACTACTACAGTAGGTATTGGTTATAGCGTGGGTGTTTGAAAAACGACTTTCTATTCTTATTTCCGATATTTCTTACACACGATAAATCAAGTGTGAAATATCACGTGCACGTGCGCAGAGGCAGGAAGATCATCGTACATGCAATGACTATGTAGTGTTACAGTGCATGCGGCTGGGCATAGTCACATAGGCTTACCATGCGGCTATGCACCACGGGTTACATGACCACAACAGCTAGTTGAACCTGCAGCACTACGACCCAATGCGATTCAGGTAGGAACTACATTGGACGGATGTTATTACTACAGGCGATATTCTTCGTACTAACCTGGCATATTTCGCTACACAAAGTCCATTCTTCGGACCAATATATTCTACTGTACGATACAATTGCTTGTAAGAATAAATGTGCACTTGAAACCCATGTTATGATTATGAAAACAAGAGAGTTCATTCTTGAAGCAAGTATATTCTTTTACACTACCACAATATAACCGATATGCACTGTACTACTTATGGTCTAGCTAAGAGAGTTTTGAAGGAAATGTCTATGCAATCTTTTCAATTGGCAATTCAAGTTTGATTTTCTATAGCAAAATTGTAATGCAGAAAATTGAAATTAAATAATTCCCTGTAGAGTATAAGGCCACAGTTTTTTTTTCTTTTTCTTTTTTTACTAGAGTCACGTGAACCCGTCATGTGTGAACCATGGATAAGGGGAGTGGTGGCGTGGTCTGGGATGCTTTACCGACCTTGGGTCTCATTTTTACTTCTGTGGTTCTCGTCACCCGCACGCATACGATTCAGGAGTCTGGACGAAAAGAAAACCGTGCTGCACTTTGGGGACCAGCACATGATGCTCCTAGCACGTACTACATCTAGTTGCTAATTTTGGATGCTAGTTCACACGGTGTATTGGTTGATTCTAGTGTGGCCGAAGGTCTGGTAAACATTTTTATTTTTCGGTCATTTGTTTCCACCTCTCGCATACGATTTTAGATTTTCGGGTGACGAGAAACATAGATCTAAAAACGTGTGGCCGAAACAGAAATACTACTGAAGAATGGCCAACACAGGTTGGGAAGAATTACCGTAATTCCGCATATATACGCCCACGGGCCTATATCTGGATATAAGCCCACCTCCGTTTATAAGCCCATGGGCTAATAAACAGACACAAATGCAACTCACGTGTCAAGTAGAATTTTTCACAAAATGGACTCTTCCGACGATTGTACAGCAGGTCAGTGGAGTTTACCAGTACAGTATGGTAGACCCACTATCAGCACGGACTTGTACTTCTTCGTGAACCTTCAAAATTCGAATATTGGCCCATGGGCTAAAAAACGAACATGTTTTACTGGATACTTTATCCCCTAACTGCATTATTTCACATATAATCCCATGGGCTAATATGCGCGGAATTACAGTAGTGGTTCTAATACCACTTCCATGTGAAGAAGAGGTTGATGCAACTTCGGCGATAGTAGGGGAAGAGTGTGTTGCTCCCTACATGGGAGCTCGCGGGTTTCCTGCCGACTTGAATTCTCACTTGACTTCTCTTCTGCTCTGGATGGCAGTCGTGAGTCAGTCAAGTGAGAATTCAAATCGGCAGGAAAGCCGCGAGCCCCCATGTAGGGAGCAACACACTCTTCCCCTAATACTACTTCCGTCAGACAAACAAAGGGTTATGTACATTTCCTTGTAAGACTCACAGATGCATGACAAACGAGGTACCCAGTCGAACGCTCCCGATGCGCCCCGCAGGCAATGCGATGTCGTCTCACCGTTGGCCTGTACGTATCCCGGGTAACAGGAAACGTTAGCCTCGGGCTGTTTTCCCGTTACGGTGTTCAGCTTGAGGCTGCCATGTTCGACATCATAACGAGGACACTTGTCGAAGTCATCTACACACATCAGAGCACAGCAGCCATGTTTCATTATCGGGGCCCTAACATTTCAAAAGATATTATCTACTTATTTTTTTAAAGCATAAGTGTCGACCTAACATTACTCGGGTGCTTGCTTTAATAAAAATCTATGATTTATCGGACGGACACATGTTGATCGTTGTCGAGTTGAACAAGTGTCAATGCGTGGAAAGATCCAGTGTGATGTTACGCGATCATGTTGGTGCCCGTGCAGGAATTGTCAAACACATTTCTCTTGGTCAGGTAAAACCACAACAATCCTCAACATTTGAGCATGCGCAATACAGTAGCCAGCCGTGTAGTAGATATATTATAACTACAGTAAAACCTGTCAAGGCAATCACTCCGATATGGCGACCACATGTCCAAGACAACCACTGCAGCCAGGACCAAGGGATGCTATTCTCAGTCAAATAACCCTGGATTAGGAGGACACCTGGATACAAAGACCACATTTTGAAGGTCCCTTGAGCGGACGTCTGCGACAGGTTTCACTGTAACTTCCATACACAGCACTTGTGTTCTCCAGCACTGTAGCATGAGTAACGTACAGTCGGATGGCGATGAACAGGGGGTCAGCCCCCTAGCCTAGGCCATTCTCATTTTCATGTACTACAGTCTATACGAGGTTGAGTGACCGTCAGCGTGTACCTTATACATTGGTATGCTGTGCTTGGTGAAATTCTAGCCTGCTCGTTCTTCGGCACTCCGTTCTTCGCCACCCGACAGTGCTGTAGCAACGCATGCGAGCCTGTTAAGGTGGCAGCCAGTACAGAGTGTGATCTGCCATGCATGCCTGCCACTCTGTGCGCAGCAAGGAGTTGATGAAGCGGGTTCAGTTGTGCAACCTACCTGTGCAGTGCAGATCCGCTGTCCACCTCCCTTGACCATTTAGTGCCGTGAGGCACACGGCTAGACTTGGACCCAGTGGCTTGAACGTCTTGGGACACGTCAGCGTTACGATGGCGCCCAGATGACGGCCGGTTGCGTTCACCGTGCCATTCCTAGTCTTCACTGGACTTGGGCAGTAAGCAGGCTTACCTGCAGAAAGAGTATACATGAGCACATGTACAGTGTTGTAGATTTTTTTTATTTTTTTTTATTGGGAACACAGCCCTACAAAGAGACATGTGGAGACAAACACAAGACAAGACACAGGGGATGTAGGGACGACGTGCCGATGTACAGGGAGCAACTCGACCGACCAGGGGTCTCGGCGTTAGCGTTGCAACCTGGCATCGAAAAAAAGGGGGGGTTGCATGGTCAGGTAGCAAAAATAATAATTTGGTGCGAGAAAGGGGCGCTAGTATTGCACCAAATAATATAAATACGTGTAATGACTAAACCAGAAGGGAAAATGAAGAAAGAGAACAATAATCATAACAAGCAAGTAGTAGTAGAGAGGTAAATACTAAATGGGTCTCAAATCTCAATATCATCGTCACAGGTACTGTGTGGACCACAGCCATCTCTTTCGGATTAGATCCTTACATACGTTGACCTTGAAGGTTTGGAGGCGTCTTGAATGAGGCTCGTGAAGCAGGAGGTCCGCAGGCAGGTTGTTCCAGGGTGTGATGGCGAAGAAGGGGAAGGATCGCAGGAGGTAGTCAGGGGCTGTGCGAGGGGGTGTCCACTTCAGCTGAAAGGCATGGTGCGTCTGACGTTTTTTCCGTGTGCACATGCTAGCTACGGCAGGGGGCTTGGTTGGTGGCAGCATGGCCTTTACCTGGGGAGGCCCTGGAATGTAGTGCAGCTTGAACAAGTATGACAGGGCTGCCACCATCCGACGAAGCTGAAGACTTTGGAGGATGGTTCCAGGTCCCAGGAAATGCAGGGCACGTTGCTGAACCTTGTCCAGCTGGGCCATGTTAGTTGCGGCTGCGCTCGACCAGGCCAGTGGGGCATATTCAAGTAGGGGTCGCACGAATCCCTTGTAGACCGTCACTCGACCATGGTCGTCCAGGATGGGTGCTGCCTTTCGTAGGAAACCCAGCCTTTGGGAGGCGCGCAGTGCAACACTGCGAGTGTGCGCTCTGTAGGAGAGAGTAGGGTCGAGCATGACTCCCAGCAGCTTCAGGGTATCTGTCTCCTGGAGTGCTTCACCTCCAAAGGTGACTGGTGGAGTGCAGGGGGGAACGTGCTTGCGATGTAGAGTCATGCGCTGTGTCTTGGCTGGCTCAAAACAGATACGCCACTTGCGGCCCCACTCCTCAAGACTGTTGAGGGACCCTTGGAGGGAGGCGGTGGACTGTTGGAGATCGTCAGTTGGCTGTACTAAGCTGTAGAGTGTGGTGTCGTCTGCAAAGCTGCTCAGCTGCGTCCCTGGAGTTAAACATTGTTCAATGTCACAGGTGTATAGAAGGAAGAGGCTGGGTCCTAGGATGCTGCCTTGGGGGACACCAGCCTGGATGGGTTGAGCATCTGACGTCTGGCCTCCAACCACAACGCGGATGTTTCGGTTGGTGAGGTAGTCCTGTAGCCATACAAGCAGGCGTCCGTCGACGCCGGCCTGCTTTGCTTTGTACAGCACTCCTGTGTGCGATACCCGGTCAAACGCACCGGCAATATCCACGGCGAGGACCTGGACACAACCGCCAGTACTTATGGTGTGGACCCATTCATGTTGGAGAGCCGTTAAGATATCTGCGGTTCCTCTACCACGTCGGAATCCAAACTGGCTGTTTGGCAACACGTCATGCTTCTCTAGGTAGTTAACCAGTTGCGTGTTTACAATGCCCTCCATGATTTTCGACATGATCGTTAGCAGTGATATTGGTCGGTAGTTCGATGCCAAAGATCTGGAGGACCGTTTGTGGACTGGGACTACATGGGCAAGTTTCCATGCCCCAGGTTGCACACCGGCTAAGAAGCAGAGGGCGAAGAGCTTTGCCAGTGGGTCTGCAAGTTCAGATGAGCACATCTTGAGATGCATGGGCAGAT